CAAAAATTGTTTTGTCATATCTGTGATTCGTTTATTTATGAACTAAACAATTTGGGTGAACATCATCTAAGTGTGGTGATTCCATAATTTTTTGCCAGGGGTTGTATGTTCTATAAATAAAAATAGGAATGCTATGTTGTTGAATTATATACGAGTCTTGAAAAGAAAGAAAGAAAGAAAGAAAGGTCCTCTCATTTCTCAATGTGTAAATATCCGGTGATCAGGGACTCTGGAGATTTTTCTTCTGGTGTTCAGTAGAAAGCTCTCTTTAATGTTCTAAGTTATTGTAATTGTGACCTTGAAGTGTCTTGAGGACAGTTCCACAGGTGCACTGAACAAGTATGAAAAAGTTAAATCAAGTATTAAACAAGTATTAAATCCTTTTCAATAGAGATCTGTAAAGCTTAACAGCTTTAAAATACATTATCCTGAAAAAGGGACATTTATTTAATTTTTTTCCCTAAGTTTATATGTCTTTTTAGAACCATCCGTTCATCCATCCCCACTCCAGCACACTGGTTGCTGGTAGCCATTGACTTCCACAGTATCAGTGGCTATCATCAACTGTTTGGCTACCAGCAAATGTTTCAAAATATCTTTTCTATTTTTTTTAAAAATACTTTTTGTTCAACAGATGAAAGAAACTCCTACAGGTTTGGAACAAGTTGAGGGTGAGTAAAATCCAGTTATGAAATTTTGTTTAAGCATTACGTTGTTTTGTTTGTTTTTTATTGTTCCCAATAAGATCTGTAATAAGCATTTACAGAGAGGCACAGAATCCAAGCTGCTTGAAGTCCAGTGTGAAGTTTCTGAAGTCAGTGATGATTTGGGGTGCCGTGATGTCTGCTGGTGTGGGTTCATTGTTTTATCAAGTCCAAAGTCAATGCAGCCGTCTACCAGGAGATTTTGGAGCAATTTATGCTTCCATCTGCTGACAAGCTTTATGGAAATGCTGATTTCCTTTTCCAGCAGGACTTTAGCACCTGCCCACAGAGCCAAAACCACTTCCAAGTGGTTTGCTGACCATGATATTACTGTGCTTGACTGGCCAGCCAACATGCCTGACCCGAACCCCATATGAAATCTATGGGATATTTTCAAGAGAAAGATGAGAAACAGTCGATCCAACAATACATATGAGCTGAAGGCTCAATAGTGCCTCAGCAGTGCCACAGGCTGATCGCTTCCATGCCACACCTCACTGTTGCTGGAATTTGTGCTCAAGGAGCCCCGACCAAGTATTGAGTGCATAAATTAACATACTTTTAAAAAATTTTAATTTTCTGCTTTGCAAATCTTTTTTTTTTTTGATTGACCTTAGCAACTATTCTAATATTTTGAGATACTGGATTTTTGACTTTCATGAGCTGTAAGCTCTAATCACCAAAATTAAAACAAACAAAAAAAAAACATTTGAAATTTTTTACTTGTAATGAATATAGAATATATTTCAAAAAGTTAAACTTTCATAAGTTAAAAAAAAAAAAAAACTTTTTCACAATATTCAAATTTTTTTAGATGCACCTGTAGAAAATAGATTTGTTTCATGCTGACTTTAAAATGTCAAGAAATTAGATAAGTAAAAAGTATCTTTTAAAAACATCTCTGACCACATAACTAGCAGATGAGTAAATATTAGAAATGTTTATTGAACAATTCAATTCTGATGATGACAAATGGAACAAGGCAAATTCTATTTGAGTACAAAAAAATGGGGTTGTAGGAGAGGAAACAGCAGTATTTTTCTTTAGTCCATCCTGGCCTTCAGGGTACGTGTGGTTATCTTATCCTTCTCACTGTAAAAAAATATATATTCTTAATGTATTCTTTATTCTTAATGTTTTGTGCAGATTGAAATCAGTTAATTAAAAGTTAATGATTGTCATACTATCACTAAGGTTGATGACATTTGATGATATACTTACACGACATGAACAACGACTCCCATTCCAGACACTGCATCTCTGTCAACAGCGTTCAGCATGGCCTGTGAGATGGTCTCAAATAAATCCTCTGGTTTCTAGAGAACACAATCAATAGCAAAAGTCTATGAGATTACCAGACCTAGATCATTAATCAGCCTTCATACCCAATACAGTTACGTGGTCTTGTTTCCCTTCACCTACCATGTCAGGTTCCCACAGGGACTCGCACATGCCGTACATCTGCTCTGAGCAAGTTCCACTCACAACAAAGTCTTCTGTCACCATTGGGCATCCGATAAGGTCAAGGGAACAGATGAAGGGTTCAAAGGTCTTTGGGTCCAGACCAGCAATCACAGGCTCGATGTAGTATGGCCCAAACCTGAGACATGACAGATTGCAATTCTGTACACAGTGCACATGGGAATATTCTATTTAGCAATGAACTCTTTGAACTCTGGAATGCAACGAAATTGCATACACATTGCTTAGTAATTATAACAACCCACTGACTAGTTGATTTTGAAAATATGTAGGTTTGCAGGACCCTATTAGAAACTGAGTTCAGTTGGCCTAAATACTACAAAATGTGAATTTGGATCAGTTGGGTTCCAGAAGTAAAAATCCTATTCATTTTCTTGACAGGAGAATTGATTTTGATCATTTATAAGCTTAAAAAAGATCTACTGTGAGCTATGAGGTTGTTATTTGATAATATATACTGTTATTGAAGCCATCAGCCCACATTATTTTAACTACTTTTTTACATAATCATGTTCAAAAATAGAATTCCTGGTGATTACCCATGATTCTGCTGAGAAATTTCCACCAATCAGAGAATCGAGACAAGCAAATCACACCAAAAGAACACTTTAGAACCCACCCGCTCCCATGAAGCACTGGGGGTGATAGAGTCAACAGTTTTATATTTCTCCATTGTTTTTAATTTGAGTGTGTAGTTTGCAATGCTTAATGGGATTGTAGTTTCTCTTCTTTATTAATGTCATTAAGCTCTGATTTCCAAATACTTTGTTGCTTCAAAACAAAGTTTGTTGTGATTCACCCTATAGCTGGCTGGTTTGGTTTTAAGGCTTATAATTCTTAAATACTGTATCCGAATATGCCTACTTTCATACTTGTAGCAGGCGAAGAATAGTATGTGAAAAAAGAAATATTATGTCCAAGTTCATAGTATTCCAAAAACAGTATTCTAAAAGTACCCCAAGTAAGATGCCCTACTACTTCTGTCTACTACTACTATCCCATGGCAGTGAAGTGAAGACACAAATTGGTAGGTCACTTGACAGTAACATCATGCCAGATGTAGTACGTCCAAATTTCATTCATACTACCCATATTCATACTATATAGAACATCATTTTTAATGACTTTAAAATCCCTATGGGATCCCTATGGGAAAAACACTTTCAATACAAGTGAGTGGGCACTGTAGCACTATTACAGTTAAGGTCAACAACAACAAAAAACTATTTACCACTGATTGAATGCATTTGTTGTTCCACTAATTCCCTTCCATTTTCAGCAACTGGTTTTCTCTTTGCCACTTAACAGTAACTAGCATGTACAGACGTGCATTTTTTTTTACCTCCTCTCATACAGAAGGTTGGACACCATGCTCATGAAGGTCTTCGGCTTGATCTGACGACCTTCCTTCAGCTCATACAAGTTCAAGCGGAACTTCAGCCTTTGAGATCTAAAACGAGAGAGAAAGGTAAAAACCAGAAGGTATTTAAAAAGAAAAATGACAAGTGCTATGTTTAATATCAAATATTCGAATGCATCTGACACCATTCATACACTGTTTGTACATCTGTGGCAAGGCCAGCCAGCCCGATGTAGAGTCTGTCTCCCATAGGGAAGATTTTCTGGAAGTCGGTGGTAACCAGCTGTGCCTGGATGCCAAACCTCCGGTCTGATGCTATTGCCACACATTCCTTTCCACGCATCGCCATGACGGCACCTCCATTATATGACATAATAGACTATGGGAAGATGACAATAAAACAAAAAAACTTATAAGATTAAACAATTGCACTTTTCTATACAGTCTGACTAGATATCATATACATATTTGAAACAGTTATTATATAGGCTTAAAATAAAACTAAAATGCTTATCATTGTATAACATATACATACATCACAAAGATCACTTACAGAACAGGATAAGAAACATGCGATAGAGCAAAGCAATAAAATAAATTTTCAAACAAGATACAATAAATAGAGATAGTTTAATGAAAAGTTATTTTGTATGACTAGGCACTTTGCAAATGTTATCCAACACCACATCTGAAATGCGTATAAAAGCTAACACATTTGATCAAGATGAGTTCATACTGAATTCCCCTTTTAATACCGATGCAATTATGAAAATCATGATTTGAAATACGTCTACACATGACTGATCACCATCCATATTTAGCCCAGGCATCCAAATGCAACACTGTTAGTTTCGTTTAAAATATGATCGACTCAAAAAATCCAGCTCAATAGTCCACACTCCATATAACTAAAGCTTATTATGCATGTAGAATGCATTTAATCAAATCCTATTAAAAAGGAAAATAAGATGCAGGTTAGGACAAATAACTTTATAAATACTTTCGCCTGGAAAGATGAGATGGCAAATGAGCTAACGTTACTGTGCTAATAAAGACGATTACAGTCAATAAACACTTAATTCTTCAAACGCGTTCACTTACCATGATGGCAAATGTAATAAGCAGGCACCAATATGAGAACTATTGATAAGATTTGATTATGCTATGCTGAAAATCAAGCTGTAGACCGGGTTACACACGGTGACTGCACACTTTCCTTCAAGCGCTGCTAGTTGTTCCTGCTGCTCACGTCATTTCCGACAGCTGCGGTCCCTACAGCGCCCCTGTTAGACAAAATCCTCGACAAAATCATTACACCACCACCTACTGTAAAAATGAAAAGCATAAAGAATTCAAATAATTTTCGAATCCTACCTATTTCAAGCATTGCATGGGAGAATTTGTGATTCACCTTTAACGGAAAACAACAAACGTGTTGTAGTTTACGCTAGGGGGCGCCAGTACGTTGTAATTCATTCTCACCCACAGGAGCAAAAGGACAGGAGAAGAAAACACAATGCTAAACAACACAAAAAATTAAAATGGACTCAGAGGATGGAGTCTTTAAATGCAAGTAACACGTTTTACAGCAAAATGTATCGGTTTATGAGTAGCCTGATTTTTATTTTTTATTACCTTCCTCACTTCCCAAAACGTAATTCTGCAACAGTAACGGCATGCTGATTCAACAATATCGCGAATTTGTCAATGTATGTGATTTATTCCATTTTCAAGTGGTGGTCAAAGGCAGATATGTTTACCAGTCGTCTCTGTGCATTTAGGGACTGATGCCAACACGGCAGATCTGATTGTATGGAGAGTCAGTAACAACAGTTTGTTTACAGGCAGGAGAAATGCAGCCATCAAAGCCTTCGAGTGAGTAAATTCAGTCTTGACTTCACTGAGTGCTGTTATGCCTGGTCAGGTACACGTGTTTATTTGATGCTGTTGATCTATCTGTCAATCTACAGGCTGTATGTGAAGGAGAAACAGCTGGTGGGGAAAGTGACGCCTGCATGGGTTCGAAAGAAGTGGGAGAATCTAAAACAGAAGTATAAGGTGATGGCATGCATTTATTTAGCTTCTTTGCAAGTCACATGTCTGTGGAAATCCATCCCATACAGTATAAATACTAATGAATTACTTTGCTTAAAGATAACTTACGTCAAACATAAATTGTGGGACTTTTTGTCAGGATCTATTAATTTATTCAAACATACATTAATGTGTTATTGATTTGTGATTTAAAAAATCATTTTTATGTTGTTTTAGAAGCATTGTGTCATTGCTTTATTTTAAAAATGTTTGCCAAGTCATGTGCTGCAACCTACATGCAGACATAAATTTATCAAATAAATAAAATGTAATTATAAAATTATCTTATAAAATATATAAACTATTGAAAATACTGTTTTATATATAATTATGTAATTAATGTGTCTTGATTTTATAATCAAGATGTAAGGAAAATGTTGATGCATGATTGATTAATTGAAAATGATATAAATGTTGAATTACGCTGAAGAATCAACACCAACATAATCATGGAAAACTGCTTAAAATGTGTCTATTTAAATATATTTGATATGGATTTAATTATTTATAGTATTTATAATATTTAATTACTTTTTCCATTTACCTATTTTTTTTTTTTCTGCTGAACATTCTTTTTCTTCAAACAAATATTTGGCATCAATATTATCTTGACAAGTATCAAGTTTTTCAAAACCATATGAAACAAACATGAATATAAAGAGTACATTTCTAAGAACTTGGTAGACAATTTAAACTACACTGAACAAAATTATAAACGCAACACTTTTGTTTTGCCGGTTGGATGTACTGCCAAATTCTCTGAAACGCCTTTGGAGACGGCTTATGGTAGAGAAATGACCATTCAATTCACGGGCAACAGCTCTGGTGGACATTCCTGCAGTCAGCATGCCAATTGCACGTTCCCTCAAAACTTGCGACATCTGTGGCATTGTGCTGTGTGATAAAACTGCACATTTTAGAGTGGCCTTTTATTGTGGCCAGCCTAAGGCACACCTGTGCAACAATCATGCTGTCTAATCAGCATCTTGATATGCCACACCTGTGAGGTGGATGGATTATCTCGGCAAAGGAGAAGTGCTCACTAACACAGATTTAGACAGATTTGTGAACAATATTTGAGAGAAATAGGCCTTTTGTGTACATAGAAAAAGTCTTAGACCTTTGAGTTCAGCTCATGAAAAATGGGGGCAAAAACAAAAGTGTTGCGTCTATAATTTTGTTCAATGTAGGTTTTAATTTTATTTTTTTTAATTCACAACACTGTCATTGACCTATAATCATTTTGTCTTTGATAATTTACTGCAGGACCTCAAAAGCCTCAGTATGGTTGGGGGAGACGCATCAATTGCAACCTGGAAGTGGTATGCAATCATGGATGGAGCACTGAGTTGCGAGACCCCCCTCAACCATTTCATCACGCCTGTCCAAGTGTCCTCATCTGCTCAGGATGCTCCACCCCTCAAGCAGAGAAAGGAAGAGGACTGGCTGACAGCTGTGTGGGAGATGGAAAGGAGACAGGAGGAACGAGAGAGGCAAGCTTCAGAGAGAGAGGACGAGAGAGACAGACGAGCTGCAGCAAGAGAAGAAGAGCGAGACAGACGGGCTGCAGAGAGGGATGCTGAAAGAGATCGAAGGGCTGCAGAGAGAGAAGTAGTGAGAGAGAGAGAGACGCTGGAGAGGGAGGAGAGGAGGGAACGAGAATTGTTTGCGAGACAGGAACGATGGGAGAAAGACATGCTGGCTAGAGAAGAAAGGCAGGAAAGGGACTACAGAGAAAGAGAGGAGAGGAGAGAAAGAGAAGCTGCTGCTAGAGAAGAGAGGCTTTTTAAGCTCCTTGAGACATTTATGGCCAATAAGTAAAACTGTTACTGATAAATTCCAAGAATTGCTTATTTTCTACAAATAAACTCTTTTGCATTGCCATCATGTGTCTAGTTCTTTTGAATCATAAAATTAGTAGTTAGTATTAGATTAGTCTTTCACAAATGCCACAAATACAAATAATTAGGTAATTATGCTAATTATAATAAACCAAAAAGCCCAAACCAACATGATGGGATTAAATAATTTATTATTGAACAAATTCAACAGATAGCAACACGTTAGACAAAAATGAATATATACGCAAAGCAGCACACAGAGACATAATACCTGCTGATCTTTCACATTCTGAATACAGTGCCGTCCACTTGGTAAATATGAACAAAGGTGGCTGTGAAAATAAATCTGCATTGTTTATCCTTTTGATCTTTCATTAAAAAAATGTACAAAATTCTAACCTTTCATTGAAGTAAAACAATGGAAAGTGGGGGAAACTCACATTATGAAATAAAAGTTCTTCTCTAGTTCACGTTGGCCATGGTTATTGGCACCCAATTATTGCAACATCCTTTTCCTAAAATAGCAGCTCTGAGTTTTCTCCTGTAATACCTGATGAGTTTGGAGAACACTTGACAAGAGATCAGAGACCATTCCTTCATCCAGAATCACTCCAGAACATCCAGCATACCAGCTCCATGTTGGTGCTTCTTCACTTCAGTTCACCCCAATCATTTTCTATAGGGTTCAGGTCGGGGAACTGAGACAGCCATGGCAGAAGCTTCATTTTGTACCCAGTGACACATTTTTGTGTAGATGTTGATGTTTGCTTTGGATCATTGTCTTGATGGAAGATCCAAACATGGCCCATTATAAGATTCCTTACAAAGGCAGTCGGGTTTAGATTTTTTATCTGTTGGTATTTGATAGAATCCATGATGGATTCCGGCAGAAAAACAGGCCCACAACATTAAAGATCCAGCAGTATATTTAAATGTGGACATGGGGTACTTTTTATCCCTGTTTGCACCAAACCCATCTGGTGGGTTTGCTGCCAAAAAAACTTTTTTTTATGTTTCATCATCTGACCATAGAAGCAAGTCCCGTTTGAAGTTCTAGTCGTGTCTGACAACTGAATATGCTAGAGTTTGTTTCTGGATGAGCCAGGAGTTTTTTTTCTTGAAACCCATTTGAACAACGTGGTGATGTAGGGGCTGTTTGATTTTTTCAAATTTTTTGGGGATTTCTGACCCCAAGATTCAACTACTCTGCAATTCTCCAGCTGTGATCCTTAGAGAGTCTTTGGCCACTCAAACTCTCCTCACTGTACATTAGGACGATATAGACACATGTTCTCTTCCAGGCAGATTGGTAACATCTTTAGTTGAATGGAACTTCTTAATTATTGCCCTGATTTTGGAAATGAGGATTTTCAATGCTTTAGTTATTTTCTTACAGCCACCTTCTATTTTGTGAAGCTCAACAATCTTGTTCTGTACATCAGAACTATATTCTTTGGTTTTACTCCGTGTGATCGATGATTACGGGAATTTTTGTGTTCTTCATATTTATAATCCTGTGGAACAGGAAGTCATGGCTGGACAATTTGATATTCATAATCACCCTGGTGTGCTAAAAAAATTTAAATATGAATAGGAATATACTTCAGAGATTTTACTCACAAGAATTTCTAGGGGTGCCAATAATGGTAGCCAACATGCATTGGAGAAAAACATTTATTTCATAATGTGAGTTTCCCCCCACTTTCAATTGTTTTACTTATACGAAAGTTTAGAATTTTGTGAATTTTTTGAATGAAAGATCAAAAAGATAAACAATGCAGATTTATTTTCACAGCCACCTTTGCTCATATTTACCAAGGGTGCCAATATTAGTGGGCGGCACTGTACAAGGGTGTGAGACATTCAATTAATACTCTAGTGACTATTTTAACACAGAATGTTATATAGAAGAATTCTGAAAAAAAAAAAAAAAAGTTTACAGTATAGTGTATTTTATAGTCAGTTTAAGCATTAGTTGAATTACACTGAGGTTAACAGAAGAATCAACACCAACATAATCAGGAGAACAGCCGGGAAGATACTTAGAATATTTCTATTTAAATATACTTATATATATGTATTTAAATATTTATAATATTTAATTGTTTTCAGTTTTTTTCTTATTTTGTTTCTGCTGAAATTTGGCAGGTGCTTTGAATTTGTCTTTGCAAACAAATATTTGGCAACAATATTATACAAGTATCTTTATATTTCTGAAAATAAAGCATTTATAATATTTATTCTAAATATCTATTTTTATATAATCCTCTAAATAAATACTTGAATAGATGACAAATATTTAGAATACATCTATATAATTACATCGTTTTTGTAGTTATAATTTTCACAGAATGCTTATCTTATTTGATTTAAAATTACGTAATTTATCTCACTAAAGACTGAATGGTACATTAATGTTAATTAGCTTCATTGGTGTTTAGAATTATGCAGAGTGCTTCATAAATGTGTCTATTAATTGCAAAGGATGTCCCATGATAGCTTAATATGCTTTAACTCCGTTGTCAAGAGTTTACAAAAAAAAGTTATTCAAGAAATCTGATCACAGGATTTCTTTTTCCACTTCCTGTTAAACTAGCACAGTATCCTGAAGCTGGACATTCTCACACGTGAGACTCGTCCAGATCCAGGTCAACAGGGGACAGGGGGAGCGGAGAGAGAGCGTGGGGTGTGAGCAGCGAGGTCAGGAGTGGGTTCTCCGTGCCACGGTCCTCTCCTGCACTAGAGGAGGTGTCTGTGTTTTGCAGAAGCCCAGTGGTCTCTTCGTCCTCTGGGCTTTCTCTGATCTGGGTTGGGGCCAGTCGGGATGGTGTACTCAGGATGGGGAGGGGAGGAGGAAGAGGGGAGCAGGCTCTAGAAGTGGAGCTTGAGGCAGCAGAGGGGGTTGGAGAAAGACTGCTTCTTACATTCCCCTGGTCTTTATTCTCATACTGAGAGGAGTAAATAAAGCAAGTGTCAGATTCAGAGGTATAAATGGCTACATTCAATTTTAAACACTCACGCAATGCACCCAAACATTTTTAACATTCAGAAATAGCATTTCTGTTTCATTACTTAATGGGAATGATATCAAAATGCTCTTACAACATATTTTCATTAGCTGCATATAGACTTAAGCATGTGTTTAAGCAACAACTCTGCAAGCTTTCATTCAAACAATGTGCTCTTATGACTGACAGTGGGTAAAATCAGACCTGTGGCCATGCTGGTTTGTGCTGGGCAGTATTGATGCTAGGTGATGAGGACTCTGATGGAGCATGGCTCAGCCTCCCGACCTCTGTGACCCCTGGTAAACCGCTGCTGGGGCTGGGAGTAGCAGTGGGAGATCTGCCAGCCGGTTCCTGCTGGGTCTCGGTGAAAGTGACAGACCTCTTTTGGTCACTGTGAGCTGAAGAAAAGATGACAGATTCATTAGACTCTAGAAATTCATTAGTATACACTATTACTTCATGCAGTTTCCTGGGAATCAAATTCATAACATCGTTTTTGTTAGCACTATGCACTACAGTTTGAACTATAAGAAACTCTATCTGGTTCTTCACAGTGGATGTACTTAACCCTATAAAACCATATCAGATTTGGAACATGGCTTTCTAATGCCTCTACATTATTAATTTGGTCAATGCTTTTTCAAAAAAAAAAAAAGGCCTACTCCTGGTGGCAGAAGGACCTTTAATATTATCTCCAAACTATCTGCCTTTTGCTGGGAAGTCTTTGTCGGTTTTGATAAAATATTACAAAATATTGACGTCTCAAAAGTACTATTCAGTGGATTTAAGCCATGTAAAATTAACATTTCATAGATTTTGAAAGAAGATTCGAAGTTGAAAATGTATTAAAAATTATACATTGTGTATTTTAGGAATGTCTTTGTATATATTATGCCCACCAAAATAGCATAAAATAATATAATAATTAAATTAAGTTAAAAAGTCAAATTTTATTTGACTAATTATGCATTTAGAGTGGATACTGATATGTAATTTTTATATATGCAGTCTGCTGTATAATTCTTAACATCTCAGATTTTGCAATCATAAATATTTCTATTTGTATTATTATTCATAATAATGTAATTTATTTGTGTATATTACATTAATATATTTATTATTTATTATACTAGGCATTAGATCTGCTGACATCCACAAAGCAAAACTAAAAGGTTTGTCTATAAACAAAAAGGAATTCATAGAAATGCTTTAAAGACTGAAATGAAGGGTTTTTATGTTGTGTACAATAACTTACCGATAATGATACACACAGATATGATATTATCCATGCTATAAACATATACTTATACACATAATCCCCACTCATATTCATTTTCTTTTTTAATGTAATTACACAAACGACACACACTCCTGTCGAGTGGTTTACTCTTAGGCTGAATGCTCCTACGGGTTGTTGAGAGTCTGGCTCCGTGACGTCCACGAGACTCGTCCTGCACCCTCTGTATAGACAGCAGAGGTCGCCGTAGCTACAAGACACAGTGCCTCAATTTTATGCCTTGACATAATACACCAAATGCAAAAAATAAGACTGTGTTCTGAGCGCTCACCTGCCTAAGTCCTCTCTTACGACCAAGAGGTGGCTGGATTAGCAGAGTCTGCTGTCCTGGTTCACTCTGCACGCTGGCAACCCTGCAGAATAAAACCAAAGGACAGACACACAAACAGAGCTGATGAGCTCGAACTGCCCGAAGAGCTGAACACAATCCCTGTTAAATCCTCCTGATTAATTGGAGAGTTAAAAGGAAATGTGTCCCATCCACAAATCCCCATTAGTCCATAGCCCTCTACCAATCAAACACAGGGACAGGGACGAATCAAGAAAGCATGAATCGCAGGACAGAACCTGCAATGTCATCCACAAAAAACTAAGGGGAGTAGAGAAGCTGGTATAGCAGTGTGAGCAAGAGGATGTGAACATCCAATATAAACTAAGCCATTTTTGTACAAGAATTTGTCAGATTCATCTGATGTCAGATCAGAAAAAAGACATTTCTTCATGTCTAATTATCTACTTTACACCTGCTAGACCATACTTCCCAGCCCCACAGATTGGCCCCCCAGAGAAGAACTCCAATTTGAGCAGCAAAAAGCCTGAAACATGAGTGGACACCATGACACCATGAGGCTCACTGGAGATGACATGAGTACCACAAAGTGATAATCATTGTCCCTAGCCAAGAGAGAAAAAAAAAGACCGAAAGAAATAGTGACTTGGAGTGGATGAGAAGAGAAAGAGAGAGATCCTAGTGAGGAATTAAGTTGGATGTGATGAACAGGGAAGGCAGGCCCAGCCCTGGCACACAGACGGTGAGACACTGCACACACAGGGCCGTGACACTGTACCTAGACAGGTTACCCTCCTCCAGAAGCCCCTGGGATTCATCTAGCACATTGGGTTCACTGTAGAGTTGGGCAGGGAACAAGATTAGGGGAATAATAAGAGAGACATGCAACCCCCCAGCTGTAGATCAGCCCTCTCTTAAAGGGAAAGATATGGTAAGATTGGATAAATAAGGTTGTTATAGACAGTTTTCGGTCTGAATGAGCTTTAGTTGTGAAGAGGGGTGTCTGTTTACCTGTGACTGGGCAGCATGGTGCTCATGCTTGGTTCAGGCTGACTGGCAGCTAACCCTGTGGCGTGACTGGAGAAACGCCGCTGGGAAATGAGCCTGGGGAGGAAAGCTTCGTGCTCACTTACCACGCTGGGGATGCTGACGGAGTCATCTGAAAGCGATAGAGTAAGCAGTAATATGGATCATTCAACAATAACATTAGCAGGTGCATCTATAAAATTCCTCAGCAATAAAACCCATCAATTTTATTTTAAACTTATGCTGCTTGAAATCATTGTTAAAAAAAGAATAAAAAAATATTTCAGTCATGAACCTCTAGATAACGCAGGCTGATACAGTAGGTCCTTTACATGCACTCTTAGCAATAATATAATTTACTATATGGCACAAGCTGATTCTGCAGCCAATAAGATTGCTTGCTCAACATTTAAATAGTCTGGTTTAGTATTCGCTGTAAGCTGGTCCTGCAGCGTACTCAGTTGCTCTGAAACCCTCCACCTCCCCCAGCTCCACCTGTCTAGATCTGCTACAAAATTTTATGTATGTCCATTCATGCATTAATATATGTCACATATATATTCATGAACAGACTGTTCTTTTAAGTCAGATCTTTTAAATGAACAGGTTTATAAAGAAAGTGATGTCATTTGGAATGACATGAGGGTGAGTAAATGAGTGTTTTGAGAGGAACCAAAGAGGATGAATCACACACTTTCCTCCTCCTCCTCATCGGTACGACTGAGTGTGTCCTGTGAGGGCTGGCGTGAAGGTTGGCTCTCCTGCTCCCAGACAGTTCCTGTACCGGTGTTGGAGCGGGACATGGTGGCCAGACTCAACCTGTATGCAGAGGTGGATGTGCCAACAGTACTGATGGACGTCTTTCCTTGGTATGCTGAAAAACGGGGAGAAATAAAGTCAAAGTCCCTTTCAAGGAAAGTCTGTTCACTCGGCGGCCATATTTCGAACACCTCCCAGGAGCTCATACAAGACCAAGTCCTATTTAAATAAATGGGGGAATCCTGAAATCTCAAAAACTGCTCACTGAACTCACAATTAAATTACACATTTCAAATCAGCAACAAAAACTGAAATTAACTGCCCCATTAATGTTGGTTCTCATGCTCAAATAGTATTAAAAAGGCTTATTTTTCAGGCTAGACCAGCCAATGCGCATGCGCAGCTATAACGCACTTATGATTGCGCATGCGCATTGGCTGCTCTAGCCTCAGGTTTCTATGGGAACCGGAGCTTCTAACAGCCACTGCAGTGAAGCAACGACTTGACCAATCAGCGATTGGCTCTTTCATTTAGAAGGCGGGACTATTCTGCCATATTACGCGTTGCAGTTTCTCCCATTCATAAGTATAAGAGTGAAACGTCTTTGTATTTCTATAGTCTTTGATAAAGTACAGTTGTAACCCCAGGTTAAATCACAAAACCTGAATACCTGACACAAAATCACGTCCATGTAGACTGCACATTTTGCATTTCTGACACACCCATTTCAGGTCTTGAAATCTCTACTAATGAGCTGATGACCCGAATCAGGTGTGATTAAGTAGACTTGCAAATTGTGCACTGTTGGGGGGGCTTCAGGAACGTAGTTCAAAGTGTGACCAATTTTACTGAGAGATAGTGTGGGATTACAAATTTAAGAATCTGTCTTAGATCTACTGATCCTATGTCCCGACAAACAATCACCTGAAAAACTAAGGTGAAATACATTGTATTTAGCATTTATGGTAAAGATGATGACATAAGATGATTGCTTCTGTTGAACAAAGTTTGTAGCAAGAGGTTCCTGCCAGTTCCTCTTCTCTTATTGAACATTATTTTGTGTATTTGGTGTACAGAGACTCTCACTTTTTGTTTGTAATGGCTCTTGGTGCCTTTGCCCCAGTTTTCGAGTAGTTATGCTGATTGGATTAGGACTGGTGAAATGGGACAGGTTGCTACACCTGAATACTTCATTTGCATGCTTTGTTTAAGGTCGTCACCCAGGTGCTTTGTCTCGATTTCTAAGCACTGCCCCCTAAATGTACATAAACTACAATGACACCCAAGAGTCTCCTGGCCTTCACTTCCGAGGGGCCGTTTACATGACATTTTCAGGCAAAAATGGGAAACTTTTTATGCGTTTTGCCTGTTTGTTTAAACGACAACGGCATTTTGGGGACTGAAAACGGTCATTTTTGAAAACAGGTTTCAAAGTGCAAGTTTTTGAAAACGCCACCGTTGTCGTTTCCGTGTTTACACCCAAAACGGGAATCTTTGAAAACGGTGACGTTATGAGCGTGTGTAGTACGCAGTGGTGTAGTGGTGTAGTGGTGTACCCACTTCTAAATCCCCTCTGATGCGCATCATTCATTAGTGTCCTGCATTAGGCAAAGTCATGACAGTCCACCACATGAATAGCTAATCCAATCGCGTGTAAAAAACAAAAACAAATATTCCCTAAAAACACCCAGTAAAGACAGTGATGCGGTCAGGACCGTGGCGCCGGCTTCCTTTGAAATATGTTTGATGATTGCGCCTGCGCCCTCGTCCGCTCCGTCAGTCAGAGAGGATGCCGACTGCCGACAGTGACAGAGATGCTGCTTCTTCATGCACGAGAGCATGTCAGGGGATGCGCGCAGAGTGGTAAAATAATAGTTAATTTTGGATTCTACTACCCCTTGACCCTTGCCCTTATGTCCTCTCTTCAAGGGTGATTAATTTCCACATGCATACAAAGGGTTGACTGATGTTATTAAAACACTATCTTGTGGAGTTGTATTCTGTGGTAGCACTAGTAACCCTTGCTATCAAGTAAGTTCATTGTCCCATATCACATAATCACCCTTTAGAACTAGTGTAACTCAGGGTCCTTTTGAGATTTAGTTGTTTAGGTTTATCCTGACCTTGAATGAGATTGGTAGATTTAGATTATAGTGTCGTGCAGATGGGTTGTTTGGACAAGAATCCAGATCAGACAAGAGGTCATTGGTCTAACCCATACGCAAATGTAATATATGTACATATATTTAACATTTACATGTATGAAATATATTGTTATAGGAAGTAAAACATTGGAAACATTTTCATAATTGGAACAATTTCATATATTAACATATATATCTAGCCTATACAAATATATCTTTATATATTACTTATAATTATCATATTATATAATATATTATATATTATGTAATACTTTTTTGGACATATAAGCCATGTACACTTATATCCAGTGGTGTAGTGGAGGGTATACGCAGGTATACGGCGTATACCCACTTCTTTATTAGTCGGCTTTGCGTATACCCACTTCTAAATCCCCTCTGATGCGCATCATTCATTAGTATCCTGCATTAGGCAAAATCATGACAGTCCACCACATTAATAGCTAATCCAATCGCATGTACAAAATACAAATATTCCCTAAAACACCCAGTAAAGACAGTGATGCGGTCAGGACCGTGGCGCCGGCTTCCTTTGAAATATGTTTGATGATTGCGCCTGCGCCCTCGTCCGCTCCGTCAGTCAGAGAGGATGCCGACTGCCGACAGTGACAGAGATGCTGCTTCTTCATGCTAAAGGCAAGCACGAACAAACATACACAACAATGGCGGAGTACATGGTACTGTTGTTGCTGTTTAAGAGTTTGCTAACGCTTCTTCAGCAAAGTGTGGATTTACTTCACCAATATTACAACCAACAGTGGAGACGCATCATATACACACGGCAACAGGTACTATTTACTAACAAGGTGACAGCACCAACTACTGGCCTGGCATACGTAATACAGCGTTTTTGGCCGTTTTCGCGGATATGTGTAAACGTGAATCGTTTTGAAAATGTTGTCGTGTATACGTGAAACTTTTTAAAAACGCAAGGGAAAAACTTTTCAGTTTTTGACTACATTGTTGTCGTGTAAACGTAGTCTGAGTTTCCAACAATAGGTAGGTTAACTTTTGTTTTGTAGGTAATATACCGATTAAGCCAGTTCTCACCAGAGCCACTATGCACAGCCTCTTTCAGGATCTTGAGCTCGTTGCTGAACTCAGCAAACAGAGAGCTCTTGCAGAGGGACCGTGGGATGAAACGACGCTCTAGTTGCTCTGCAATATGGTGACGGGCCGTGATCTCCTCCTGAGACTCAGCTGGCTGGGTCAACAGCTGAAAGTAGAGACATAGACTTTTTCATGAATATCAATCTTGCAGAAGTATACACAGCTGGCAGAAAAAAGGACCATAGATAGAAACAAATGAGCAACTGATATATTGCCAAGGCTGATAAATTGGCCAATATTCGGAATTGTGACGACTGATTAATGTTGTGTGATGGTCCATCTGTGCACAGGATACAAACGGTGTGAACTGATAGTGGTTAAAAGACTCACTTGATTGCATCATTGTTGTTTGCTAATTAATAATATACACTACAATATTCCATTGTGACAATTTTACAGTTGTCAGTTTCTATTTCATGGTGACTTTAAATTATAAAATAAGTAGTAATTTTAGTGTAGCAGAGGTGCATGTGTTATTTACTAACTTAAAGTAAATGTGTGATATCATATACATCAGCTCTATATCAGCCACCCTTCTATATATCGGCATTGGCTATTAAAAACCCATATCGGTCAACCACTAATAGAGAGTTCAAAAAGGTAGTACATATCCTCAAAATCCGCCCACCTTGCATTGTATGAAGGGGCGCAATAGAATGAAGATTGGAATTCTTGTGCGCACTATGAAGTCAATAAAATCCCAGAAAGCCAAACCACCAACTTTACGCAGGGCCATTTCCTTGACCTGCAGACTCAGCTTGTACCATTGATTACCCAACTGTCGCTCAAAGCAGACTAAGACCACCTTCAGAGCTAGAAAGAGCAGATTAAAAGAAAAAAAAAAAAAAATGTACAGACATCTTTAAAAAAATAAATCTTATATCACACCATCCAACCGTCTCCAAGGCTCTAGTACCAAGATAAGCTGCTTGGCTGGTGGATTCAGCCAGTCCCTCTCTACGCAGGTCTTTCCCAGTGTCCCCTGGGGTGGAGCAGTGGGCAGGGGATGCGTCCAGAACAAAGTTCTTACTGCGGGAAGTGCTGATAATGCGTGGAGGTAACAGGATGTTAATGACTGTCTGCAAAAGTAGAAATACCTCTGGCTGCTCCAGATGAGGGCTGTCTGTAAAGGAAAAACATAAATAAACATTGTAAATTACATCCAATTGCATTATGACTTTGAGGTTCTGTTTGTTCTCTAAGGCAGACCTTTACTCCCTGCGCCCACAGTCAATACAAATGGAATCAAGAGGTTAAGCAGCATCCCTTCTCGTCTCTCCTGATTGGTGAAGGGGGAGATCACATGACTGAGTGGGAAGTCATCCTTTAAAGCCTAGAATTGGAGGAAGACATTCACCATATGCCCAAAAATATACTGTATCAATGAACTGAAATGCATATTAGAAATAGAGATATCTATAGAAAGAAACAGATTATACCTGGATCTGCATGGCAACCAAACGCACAACTGCTGTACTGAAGGGAAGAGGAGGAGACAGGTATGGACTTAGATGCAACAAGGGAAGTCCATCTGCCACACTACCAGTCCCTCTCTACGCAGGTCTTTCCCAGTGTCCCCTGGGGTGGAGCAGTGGGCAGGGGATGCGTCCAGAACAAAGTTCTTACTGCGGGAAGTGCTGATAATGCGTGGAGGTAACAGGATGTTAATGACTGTCTGCAAAAGTAGAAATACCTCTGGCTGCTCCAGATGAGGGCTGTCTGTAAAGGAAAAACATAAATAAACATTGTAAATTACATCCAATTGCATTATGACTTTGAGGTTCTGTTTGTTCTCTAAGGCAGACCTTTACTCCCTGCGCCCACAGTCAATACAAATGGAATCAAGAGGTTAAGCAGCATCCCTTCTCGTCTCTCCTGATTGGTGAAGGGGGAGATCACATGACTGAGTGGGAAGTCATCCTTTAAAGCCTAGAATTGGAGGAAGACATTCACCATATGCCCAAAAATATACTGTATCAATGAACTGAAATGCATATTAGAAATAGAGATATCTATAGAAAGAAACAGATTATACCTGGATCTGCATGGCAACCAAACGCACAACCGCTGTACTGAAGGGAAGAGGAGGAGACAGGTACGGACTCAAATGCAACAAGGGAAGTCCATCTGCCACACTAGATGGCCCCACAACCCCCATCACCTAAACACATACATCTTTATGTAAACAAATATACATCACACAAAGGATCTCATCGGCAACAGCTGTTTGGGACTCACCAGGTTGACACAAACGTTGATTAGAGATCGCAGGTGAGGGAGGAAGGAAATGATTGGCTGCCGATGAAGTGTCAAACAAATCCCTTCAATCAGACTGCTAGCTGCCTCCCACTCCACCTGCCGCCTGAAAAACAACACACAGAGATATTCATCTCACACACTTTTAAAAGTTGGACATCAACAAGGTATCATACAATATGTTTTCTGCCACTAGTCACTGAATTACAGAGAATTCAGAATACAAAGTGGAATTTTCCAGAGAAAACAAAAACAAAAATCTGTTTGTGCATTAGAAAGTTAATACATTACAGGTCAAAAGTTTTAAATAATTCAGACTGATGATTTTGAAAGAAGCCACTTATGCTCATCAAAGCTGGATTTATTTGATCAAAAATACAGTAAAAACAACATTATTAAGTAGTATTACAACTTAAAGGAATAGTAGTGTATATGCACATGAAAAATGTATACGCAAAAAAAACATTTTCTTCTGCTTGTTGGAAAATATTTGTGCTCACACATCATTACAATTATTGGTTTGTGTATATAAATCTGCACACACAAAAAAAATGGGAATGCATGAGAAAACCTTTACACTAAAAACACAAAAACATTTTCCCATGCACACACAAAAGTTTAATTGTGCACATATAAGTTTTTCAGAAAATATTTGTTTTAGTATTAGTTTTCCACATGCAGAAGAAACTTCAATATGTCCACAAAACCACATTTGAGCAGGTTTATTATGTGCAATCATGCTAAATTTGTGCTAAATTAATTTTTTTCTGGAAATGTCACTTTAGGGATTTTGTAATGAATCCCTTCTGCCACTGGAAAAAAAAATCTTTGCACTGATACTCACAAAAATAATGCCTACATAAAATAGTGCTTTAGGAAGAATACTTTACGTTGTAAGTTTTTGATAAATGACATATTGCTGTCTAATTAGTTTAAAAGTATATTGCATAAGTGTATTAGATACAATACTTCACAAATATAAGCAAGCTCATAGTATGTACACAAAAGCAAGATATAATATTCTTAGGCATACTTGTTGCTTTACAACATTTAGTCCACCATTTATTCAACTTTATTTTGAAATCATAATGAGACAATGGAAAACAAAGCACAACAACAAAGCACAAAAGCGGCAGCTGGCCATCACATCTCAAGAGGCCAGCAGAGCTCCACCAGTGCATACAAAAACACAGATGGTGGAGGGCTAGAGATCAGCGTGAGGACATACCTGGTGCACAGAGCCACAGAGGGTGAACGCACCTGAGTGTGGGCATCTTATGAATCTTGTTAAACATGCGATCCAGCCTCTTCAGAATGAGGATGAGGGCAGGACGAATGGCCTCTGCCGACCAATCGGTGATGGGTAACATTTCTGTGATGTAGCGGCGCAGTCCTCTGCTTTCCATGGTCAGCGTGTCATACGGGGCCAATTTGAGAAGGGAGTGGGCGACTTCTGCCAATCTGTAAAACATGTTAGAAAATGCTATGACTTGGTTGCTCCATCGTGCTACTGTATGTTCAAACTACTTTAGGTAGCTTTTGTTTCACCTCATATGAGACTTGATATCCAGCAGCTCTAGAGCAGTGACTCTGGGTTCTCCTGCCACATTCTGCAGGATTTTGAGGCGTGGACCACAGTGCTTGTAAAACTCTGTGCAGATGTTAAGCAGAGACTCACGGGGGCGACGGAACTCTTCACGGGCAATACGCTCGTCCAGTTCCTCCCTCAGTATACCCTGACCCTCCTCCAGCAGGTGCAGGTTATCCCTGCAGAGCGTCAAACCAGAGCACTTTCAAACAACTACTGCTTGTTTTGTTGTTATTGTACTGTTATTTGCAAATCATTTCAACATGCAAACCATATGTTTTCAGGCAGTGCAGACATTTTCTGTTATACTACTTTGCTATAACAATATACAGTAGGTGTCAGCATAGTGCCAAGTGACCTTCTTATATGGCAGCTGGGAGAAGGAGGAAGCTGGGATGAGGAGTATGTTGGGTTAAATGAACAAGACATAAAATACCCAAATGCATGTTTTTGACAAAGGAATTCTTGAAATCAAAGTATATGCAGCTGAATGAAAACTGCAAGTGAAAACATATTTATTTTTGATGGTTTGATGTATATCCATGGTTCCTGTGATAAAGTGAAAGTGAAGTGACGTGTGGCCAAGTATGGTGACCCATACTCGGAATTTGTGCTCTGCATTTAACCCATCCAAGTGCACACACACAGTAGTGAACACACACACACACCGTGAACACACACCCGGAGCAGTGGGTTCGGTGCCTTGCTCAAGGGTCTCACCTCAGTCGTGGTATTGAGGGTGGAAGAGAGCGCTGGTTAGTCACTCCCCCCACCTACAATCCCTGCTGGACCTGAGACTCCAAACCCGCAACCTTAAGGTTACAAGTGCGACTCTTTAACCATTAGGCCACGACTCCCCCCATATAAATGCAGATATGTAAAGCCATGTAAAGATCAAATATCTGAAAAACATAATCTGTTATAGTAATTGATTCTTCTTTTATTTTCTCTGAAATTTCCTACCAGAAAGAACCAGACAACTCTGAATGTAAGTAATATTGCAGGCTTTAAAACCTTTAAAAAAGGTGGGCCAGTTGGGAAGGGAAAGGGACAGTTTCTGTATGTCAACTGTATTATTTTGTTATGATGCCCCAATAAAAAAGAAGAAACTGCAACAAGTCACAAAAATAGAAACTGATTCAATACAGTATCAGCTATTTCAACTGTAAACAGTGTCTTTAAACACTTATCTAGACTGTAAACACTGTACTGTATAGGGGTGGGAATCACCAGAGGCCCCACGGTACGATATTATCACGATACTTGTGTCACGATACAATATTATTGCGATTTTAAATATATTGCAATATTCTGCGATATATTGCAATTTATTACCTTTTTCCAACTTCAAATTATGTCCCCAAACGAAAACTTTGGCAACATCTGTTTTAACTAAAAAGAAACATTTCTCAGTTTATCTCACTTCAATTTTATTGCTGCAGGGCAAAATAGGATTGTCAAGCAGACAAACTGACCGACACTTTCATGAAAACCTGTCATAAATGTTGTATGCACCTGGCAAACTCAACTATTTGTATTACATTCTTGTCTAGTCCACCTTAAAGGGGTCATATGATGTTGCTAAAAAGAACATTATTTTGTGTATTTGGTGTAATGAAATGTGTTTATGCGGTTTAAGGTTCAAAAAACACATTATTTTCCACATACTGTACATTATTGTTTCTCCTCTATGCCCCGCCTTTCTGAAACGAGTCGATTTTTACAAAGCTCATCGGTCTGAAAAGCCAGTTGTTCTCTGATTGGCTAGCTATCCAGTGCGTTGTGATTGGCCGAATACCTCAAGCGTGTGACGGAAATGTTACGCAACTTACCATACTGTGATGCCCTGTCAGGCCGGAGCGTAACATAAAACCATGTCTGCATTTGTGATCGGAGAAATGACAAACAACCCCAAAACTCGCGTTTGAATCATCAGTGGCAAATTCTTTAAATATAAAAAACTTACTTACAGTCTGCGAGTCAGAACAGCCGGCATTGTAGTCTACTCTACCAGGATTAGGAAACACACTGACTCACACATCTAAATATTTGGGTTGAAGTGTTCTGGAACAGTGTTGTAAATACAACTTAACCACTGATTTCTAGTCGTGTCCTCTTTTGGAAGGCCAAACAAAGTAGTTTCGCTTTCACAACGAAACACAGCGTCACACGCGGCGGTGGCCTAGAGTGAGCGGAGGCCGGCGGCTAGAGTGAGGAACGGCCGGTGGGTTGAGTGAGAGGAGGCCGGTGAGTTTGAGAATGGCGTGGCTGGCGGCCATGGTCTGTTGGAATTCTTGATTCTGATTGGCTGGCAGATATGCATTAAAACCGTTTAATGCACAGGTAGTTCCAAGTCAGTTTAATCACCGTTCTATATTAATGCTCTGCTGCTTTAATTGACACACACAAACGCACAGACACACATCACTTGCACAGAGAGACGCACAGAGAGAGAGAGAGAGAGAGAGAGAGAGAGAGAGAGAGAGAGAGATCCCGCTGCGCACACAGAAACGTTCAGGAGTAGTCCAACATAAATTTGTCAACTCTGCCCCACTACTTTTATTAATAAAATGGCTTAGATACTGGATCACTGCATTATATTCCTCAGCAACGAAGAGGTAAAATTTCTGTTTATGTAACTAAACTCACAACTTCATTGTTTGTAGAGAGAGACGCACAGATGCAGGTAATTCACACACACAACTGTCATCTTTCTCGCTTTCTCTCTCTCGAAGAAACGATCGATAATTAATTCAAATAAATGTTATAATTCTGTAATTCTATAATTCCGTAACTGACGAAAATAACCTTAATTTTTAAATATTGCGCTGCAAAGAGCAATACTAGTTTTAACTTGTCTATAACTTGGCAAATGACCATGGAATGCATGGCTTGCCGTGCATTAACGGATTAAAAAAAAAAACTCAACACCTCCATCTAGTGGACTGTA